AGTTCAGTTTAGAATGGATTTGACTGATGTTGGTTGTTGTCATTGATCTGGTGCATAGCAAATGGTATTGACTCTTTCCCAATGGGTAGGACTGTAGAGGGTATGGTTGTGACTGGGCTGTATGGATGTGATTGTTGTCTCCTATTGGGTGAGGTAAGAAGAGAAAACACACATATAATAGAAAAGGAAAACAATCATAAACCAGCAAGTAACAGTGATAAAAAGAAAATAACAAGGGGGGGGGAAGAAAAGCAGGAAACTACTAGAAAAAGAATACAAAAAACCAAAGAGAGGAAAGAGGGAGAGGAACATAAAATAAAATAATAAAAAAGAGAGAAAATAAAAAGAAAGAAAAAGACCAAACACAATTAGGGAGAGGAATGAGTAAAAGGGAAAGAAACCAGAGAGTAATAAACAACAACAACAACAACAACAAACAGGGATTAAAAAGAAAGAAAGAAAGAAGCAGCAGCAGTTGGGAATGAGAAACAGAAAAACAAAGAAAAAGAAAGGGAAGAGAGAAAGGAGAGAAAGCAAGAGAGATATAGGTGAGGGAGACAGAAAAAACAAATAGAAACAATGAAAGGGGGAAAACAATCCATGGCTGGTGCCAGACCCAGAGAGGAGAAAATTCTGGGGTTTCCTGCCAGGCAAGGACCACATGTTGTAGGTAGGTAAGGGACGAGACGGTAACACTGAATCCTAGATGAGGTTCCAATAGGGCTAGGTGTTTTCTCTTCTGGGCACTCAATTTGGAAATAGTTCGTGCAGACCCCAGAGCAGCTGGGGTATCAGAGTATTTCCATTCCAGAGGGGAGTGGTCCCTTTAGTCCACAGCTGTCCAGAACTAGCTTTGTAGCCAGAACTGGCACATGATTCCAGGTGCCAGGGCTGATAGCTCAGAGAGCAGGAGGTTCCCTGGAACTGTATGTGGTTGGGGGCCGACCACACCTCTGGTCACTAGGGTAATGTGGGGCATAAAGAAAAAAAAAAAAAAATCTCACCCTTTGCTGTCCACAAATAAGCTGTATGCCTCTGTGCCACCTACTTCCTTCTTGCCTTCAAAGTTGTCCCTGAAAGTTCAAGATGACCACATTGTGACTAGTCTGGCTCCTAGCACAAATCAGCAGTTTCTTTTCTTTTTCTTTTTTTTTTTCCCTTCCCCATGGGTCAGTTCAGCTGCTTCTAGTGAGAGTTAGTCCAGGGTTGGCCAGAGCCTGCGCTGGAGCATGGCCTGTACTATCAGGGTCAATGCAAACAGATCCCCCTACTTGAATGGGGACTACAACCACCGTGCTTACCTCCCTGCAGCTTGGTCTGCTTTGAGTGGGAGCTTCCCTGGGAGGGGATACATGTGAGTCTGGTCACCATGGGGGTGTGGACAACAAGAAAAAAATCATGCTTTTGTTTCTGCAAGCCACAGGTATGTTTCTACAATGCTTATAATATGCTTTCTTGTTTCTGAAGTCATTCATGAAAGCTCAAGGTGACTGTGCCCTTCTGGTACTCAGCACAGGTCATCAGACTCTCCCTTTTTTCCTGTGTCTGCTCAGCTCTCTCTTCTAGTAAGCATTTAATCCATTTCTCTATCCCTTCATCTGGAGCTCAGAGTTCCAGGATGATCATTTGCATCTGTTTCATTTGGTTATCTGTATCTTTGTTGTAGAGTCTGTACAGCTTTTCTGCTTAGACTGCCATCTTGCTGCCTCTCAGTGTTTAATTTCTTGATTGCTGCTTCTATGAGTGTTGGTTATGGATCCAAGCAAAATTAAGTCTTTGACAATTTCAATCTTATCTCTGTTTATCATAATGTTATTTCTCAGTCCGATTGTGAGGATTTGGGGTTTGTTTTTTTTCTTTTTACACTGAGGTGCAATCCATACTAAAGTCTGAATCTTCATCAGTAAGTAGTTTAAGTCCTCTTCACTTCCAGCAAGCAAGGTTGTATCAGCTGCATAGCTCATAAAAAATTATGGATAACATTGCAAAGAATGGCAGTTCCAGAACACTTACTTACGTGCATGTGGAAACTATACATAAACCAAGAGGCAGTTCTAGCAGAACAAGGGGATACTTCTTGGCTTATAATCAGGAAAGTATGAATCAGGGTTGTACCATTTCATCATACTTAATTTATGGGCTGAGTAAATAATCTGAAAGCTGAAATATATGAAGAAGAACATGGCATTAGGATTGAAGGAAGGCTCATTGACAACATGCAGTCTACAGATGACACAACCTGAAGTACTACTAATCAACATAAAAGTCTTCATTATGGATTATACTTCAACATAAAGAAAACAAAGATCCTCACATCTGGACCAATAAACATCAGGATAAATGGATAAAAGACTGATGTTGCCAAGTATTTCGTTTGACTTGCATTCACAATCAACACCCAAGGAAAAAACAGTAAAGAAATCAAATGATATATTGCGTTTGGGCAAATTGCTGCATGTTGAAGAGCAAAGATGTCACTTCGAGAACTAAGGTATTCTCAGTGTCCTCAGATGCATGTGAAAGCTGGACAATGACTAAGGAAGACTGAAGAATAATCAATACATTTGAATAATTGTGTTTGCAAGAAATATTGAAAGTACTGTGGACTACAAGAAGTATCAACAAAACTATGCTGGAAGCAGTACAGCCAAATGCTCCTTAGAAGCATGGATGGTGAGACATCATCTCACATACTGTGGACTGTTCCCTGGAGAAGGGCATCATGCTTGGTAAAGTACAAGGTCAGCAAAAAAGAAGACTCTCAACAAGATGGATTGACACAGTGTCTCTAACAATGTGTTCAAACATAGCAACAATTGTGAGGATGGTACAGGATTGGGCAGTGTTTTGTTCTGTTGTGCACAGGGTTGCTTTGAGTCAGAACTGACTCGATGGTACCTAACAACAATAACAGTATATTGTAAGTGACAGATTCTTTTAATGGTGGTTTCATTGTTATGCTGCATAACATGCAGTTTATTTGACAATTTGTCTGTTAGACATTTATGTTCTCACTTATTTTTAATGCCACAATAAAAAACCCTTTTACATACAGGGTTGGTTTTTTGTTGTTGTTGTTGTTTTTCAATTTAATATTATATATTATTTGCCAGGTGTATTCATCAGGATAAAGTAGGTTATATTTCAGTTATATATGGACACCTAGATGTCAGTGGCTTAATGCAATAATGACCTGTTTCTCCTTAATGCTACATGTTCATCATGAGTTAATGGGGGCAGCTCTATTCCTCAGGGATCCAGGCTGATGGAGGATTCACAGTACTGTAGCTGCCATCCAGAACATGTGTCTCTTTCAATTATCATGGCAAGGGAAGATAGACTGGAAAATGATGCACAGACCTTTCACTGCTTCTACCTGCAAGTGACACATCTCCCTTCTGCTCACAGACCATTCACCAGAAATAGTCTGGGGCTGGGAGACAGAATGGTACAAAAAAGGGGTATCTGGAGAACATTACAGCATCTATGACAGAGAGTATGTTGGGAAGGGTTGACTGATTATTTGCTTAAAATAAATTCCTGATGTGTTGGGCTTTCTTGGTGAAAAAAGGGGAATTTTAGGTTCTTCTTGAAACTTCTTTACAGCATGTTTTGCAAAAGGATATGCCTTCTTCATGGTAGCTGGTGATATAGAGTAGTGGCCAAGAGCATGAGCTGTGGGTCTGATGCATATTTACATTTGTATCTTGGCATTTAGTGGCTATGTGTCCTTGGGCAAATCACTCAGTCTTTCCAAACCTCAATTTCTTCATTTGCAATATGGGTGTAATTATAGCTACTACATCTAGTTAGAATTAAAGGAAAAGAATATGTGTAAAGTATTAGCTCAGGGTGCCTTACTGTCTTAGGCCAGGCTTTTTAGAGAGCAAAACCAGAGAAACACAATTTCCAATAATCACTTCTATCACACAAAAATAGACAGGAAAAACCAATGTTCAAAAGGCAATTTAACATATAAACCTGTTAAAAACACTTAATTAAGTTCAATCTTTTCTTCTCCCTTGGCTTAACCCCATTTACATCCATAAGGCCTCGGGCCTCTGGCAGGGTGGATTCCAGTAGGCGCCCAGCCCTATATCGGCCATCCTTTTTAACCAGTGTGTCATCAGCATGAGGCAATTCCAGAAGCTGAGTCTCTCCCCTCCACTTAAACATATTATCCCATCCCTCTTTGCTCTTTTTCTTACAAAACCTCACACTTTTATGAGCCTGAAGCCACTGCAATGAATCTTGCTCACAGTATCAACTGTTTAAACCAAGTGGGAACCATGTCTGATTTCCTCTGACTCCACAAGAGGGAAAGATGACCAAACTCCAAATCAGCACACGGCCGATTGCTATGAAGTGGAGGTCAGACATGCCTCCACCTTGTATCAGTGCCTTTAAAATTAGTCAGACTTGAGTACCAATTTAGAAAACTCATGCTTTACGGGAGCAGAAAGCCTCAGCTTTCTCCCGTGGAACAGCTAGCAGTTTCGAACTGCTGACCTTGCGGTTTACAGTCCAATTCATAACCACTACGCTACCAGAGCGCGCGCTCTCTCTCTCTCTCTCTCTCTCTCTCTCTCTCTCTCTCTCTATATATATATATATATATATATGTATGTGTGTGTGTGTGTGTGTGTGTGTGTATTTAAGTTTATTATCAAGGAAATGGCTTACAATTGCAGAGTTCAGGTCCCCATTGGAAGACAGAGAGGGAACCTTTCCTGCATGTCCATTGTATTGGGAGCAGGCAGCATAACCAAGGAAGCACCCTTTTAATGGATTGGCTGCTCATAGCCATTCATCATAGAGTTACCCATGCCTGTATTAGGTTTCATCACCATGGGAATAAACATATTTCAAGTACTAAACCTCTGGAAATCCTGGCCTAGTCAAGTTGACACACCGTTACACTGACCCATGATAAAAAAATAAATGATGTATTTTTAAAAAGTTATGAGCAGGGGTCCGTATGCACCTTTACACGAGGCGCAATGGAGGCCTCGGCTTCAGCCCCAACTTCAGCCCCAGCTTCAGCCGCAACTCCAGCAACCCCGGCCGCAAAGGATCCGCGGCTGGAGCTGAACAAAATACAGGTTAAAAAGGCAGTAAAAGCTCTGTTAGCACATTCAGAGTCCAGAAAAAATGCGAATGCAATGCTTTTGAATGAGAATGAAAATATGTTTTTAATGGTGGTGTTGTGGAAAATCCCCAAGAAAGAACTGCGGGCCAGACTGTCTTTGCCTCATGCTATTCGATCAGACTTAACAGAAATCTGTCTGTTTACCAAGGATGAACCCGACTTAACGCCTGAAAAGACAGAGCAGTTCTATAGGAATCTTTTGAACAAGCATAAAATTAAAACCGTTTCTCAGATTATCTCCCTCCGAACTTTGAAACAGGAATATAAACCCTATGAAGCCAAGCTCCGCCTCTTGGGCAGTTTTGACTTCTTCCTGACTGATGCAAGAATTAGGCGGCTTCTGCCTTCAATTATCGGGAAACATTTCTATCTCCGAAAGAAGTAAGTGTCTCTGCCCTGGCCAGACTTAAGCAGAATGCAGTCCATAGGCCTGTGCCCTGAAAGCCTGTGTGTTTCTGTAGAGTCCCCGCATGTGTGAACCTCCTGGCCAAGGACCTGTCTAAAGAGATTAACAGCTGTATTGGTGGAACAATCCTGAACATCTCGAAAAATGGTTCATGCAGCACTGTACGCGTTGGTCACACTGGAATGAAGATGCAGCACATTGTGGAAAACATCATTGCAGTCACAAAAGGACTTTCAGAAAAATTGCCAGAGAAGTGGCAGAGTGTGAAGCTTTTATACCTGAAAACTGAGAAATCGGTTGCCCTTCCTGTCTTCTCTTCATATGTCAGCTCTTTGGATGGGAAACAAGTACTCACCCAAGCCCAGAAGAAAAAAGATGCAAAGAAAAAACAGACAGAAAAGCTCCAGAAAAAGAAAGAGAAGAAAAGGAGAAAAAGAGAAATGCAGCAGGCCGCAAAGGCTAATTCAGCCCGAACTCAAGTAAAGAAGGATACAGCTGAAATCCAGAGTGCTGGAGCCCAGAAGGGTGGGGAGACCTCCGAAAAGAAGAAAAAGCGCCACAGAGTGAAAACCCAGCTGAAAGCGGGTGACGACTCCGGGGATGAAATTCCACTGCTGGTGCCGATAAAGAAAACGCCTGCTAAGAACAAAAGCGTAGAGATGCCAAAGGGTGACATAGTAAAGAAGTCTCCACAAAAGAGTCCTGCTCCCAACACTCCTTTTAGGAAGAAGAGAAAGGCCACCTCTGCACTGGGGACCCTGAAAGGCACAGAACCAGACTTCCAGGTTACAGGCCCAGCAGAGACGGGGGCCTCAGCTACAGGCCCCCAGAAGAAGCCAAGAATTCGAGAAGAGACAGCAAAAGAATCAGCCTCTGCTCTGGGCAAGAAAGACCCAAGGCAGACTCCTAAAAAGCCCGGACCCAAGTTTTTCGCCACTCCTAGTAAATCTGCCCGGAAAACTCCCCAGAACCCCAAGCAACAGCCCAGAAAACCCAAAGTGCCCCAGTTACCCTAAACCTGGCTCAGCCAGAAGGAATTAACCAGAGCTTCTTGGAGGCTTAAAAAAAGCCAGGCCCTGCCCCCAAGAGTGAGGCCTGGGCCAAAAGGGTGTTCAGAACCACCACAGGTAACTCCACACATGTTCCGAGGTGTAGTTAGACCCTACATGTTGAAGTAAAATCTATTTTTAATGGTTCTTCTGCCTATTTGCTACTAGAATGGGGAAATCCAGTGCTGCTCTGTGGTTGTGTTTTTTGTTATTATTAAAGTGTACCATTTGCAAAAAAAAAAAAAAAGTTATGAGCACATCCTTTATAAACTTACTTGGATCAAATATTAAAAATCTGAATTATTTCATAGGTTAAATAACTAAAGGGTTTAGATGTGGTAATTACTTATACTTTCAAAGAAATGATGGCGTGTACTTCTGAAGGATGCACAGAAGATTCGACAAGGAGGTTCTCTTTGGTTTCTAGTAAAATCCAGAATCTTTTCTTTAATCTTAATTGGAAGTATAATGATCATAGAGCTTAGGAAGAAAAGGGAAGTGTTGTATTATCAAGATTCCAACTCTTGTTTATAAGACTAGGCCACTTTGTTTATATGCATGTAGGTTTTGAGTATACCTTTCTTGAGGTTTGAAGGCAAAATATGGTGTTGAGCTGAAATGGGAGGAGACGGATAATATCTTACAGACTGGAAACTTGTGAAAATGAGATAATTGGCTCCATATTTTTTCCCACAAAGACAACAATGATTTCTTTAAATGTTTCTTAGTGATTTTTCCTAAATAGATTTTATTTATATGATGCACCATCTGGGTGTCTGATATTTAACAAATGCTAGTTTTTAATGGTACTAATAAAACTATATTTAAAAAAGAAACATTTTGTTGGGTTTTTCTGTAGTGTCACTGTACCAGGTGCTATGGTATACAAAAATGACAGTTCTTAACTAAAAGAAACATACATTAACACTAAGGAGATCAATGTGCATGTATATAAACCACAAAACTAAACCCATTGCTGTTGAGTTAATTCTGATTCATAGTAACCCTGTAGTACTTGTTGTTGTTGTTGTTGTTAAGTGCTATCGAGTTGATTCCAACTCATAATGACCCAGTATAGGGTTTCTGGGGAACTGATGGTAGGTTTGAATAGCTGACCTTACAGTTTGCAGTCCAGTGCTTATCCTACAGTGCGAAACTTATTACTGTTGTTATTAAGTGCTGTAGAGTCAGCTTCAACTCACAATGACCCTGTATACGGAGGGCAATGTGCTATGATAAGGACCAAACATAAAGCAGAAAGTATGGCTCTGAGAATATAAAAATGGACCAGTTCCATGTGAGTAAGGATCTTGGGACCTCTCCAACGAAGGTGGTTTGGGAATTGGGCCTGGAAACCAAATGAAAGTTTTAAATGGCAAAATGAAGAAGTTGGTTTGAACTGCAAGGTTGGTGGTTCAAGCCCTCTAGGCACTCCTTGGGAACTCTATAGAGCATCTATGAGTAGGAACCGACTCGACAACACTTAACAAAGCAACAACAATATTACTTTGGTGCTGTGGGATCAGCACTGGATTGCTAACTGCAAGGTCCAATGTTTAAACTCAGCAGCTGCTCCGTGGGAGAAAGAAGAGATTGTCTGCTCTCATAAAGATTTACAGTCTTAAAAACACTAAACAGAGTTTGTTTGTTTTGAATTATTTTTACGTATGTATTTAATTTAAAACTGTATAATATCTGATATATACAAATACATGTAAGCCATGAGTCACAATGATAAAATGACACCGTCCCCTCTGAAGCCACCACTCAACTAGGAAGTAGAGTCATCATTAAGTTGCACCATCCTTTGTGTTCCTCCCCTACAGCCTGTCTGCTTTGCTCCCCAGTCCCAATCCCAATCCCAGGGTTCTCTCTAGTCCAGTGGTTCTTATCTAGATGGTAATTTTATTTCCTAGAAAACATTTGATAATGTCTAAAGATATTTTTAATTGTCACAAGTAGGAGTGTGCTTCTGACATTCTAGTTATATTTTGGTTAAAAAATAATTGTCACATATGTATGATTTCCTAAATAATATATCATATCTTTTTTTTCTGATTTTGGAGTTTTATAAACACTGTTATGCTATATAAAAAACCCATAAAAACAAAAACCCCATGAAGAAGTACATTCCAGAAAAAGGGAACAAAATGAGCAAACATTCAGAGAAAAAAGTGAAGGGCCTGTTGTTGGTATAATCTTCTACAGTCACTAACCAGACAAGAGAATCTGAGCAGGAGTATGACTTACATCAATATTTCACGACTTTCCCTTCTTTGAATTTGTTGTGTAAAAATAATTCCACATATATTTTAAAACAGACTCCAAATTGGAAATAACATTAATGCCCATTCAATATATTCAAACATATCAATGATTACAAAGACAGCACAGAAGAATACATAAGGTCATCACGAGTAGAGCAACTTGCCAACAACTAACAGCAACAACAATAGACAACTAGTTGAAAAAATTTCACTACATCCTTGGAATTGGGTACTGTTCAAATGGAGGCCTATCTTAGATGGTGACATGGATATATACCGATGTAGAGATGACAACAATATATAGTAAAAGAGAAAAGAATTTGCAAAATAATGTGTATGGAAGGTCCTCATATTAGAAAAAAAATTACTTAACCAAACTATGTGTCCTCATATATGCATATTAATAATTTAGAATGCAACTGTTGAGAACAAAGAGAAGTGATTTGTAGTTGGAATATCTGACTTTAGTGGTAGAAATGATGCTGAAGATCATATGATAAAAATGACTTTTTCATTGCAAATATCTTCCCTCAAAAACATAAACAGTGACTATACACGTGGACCTCACCAGATGGAATATGCAGGAATCAAATTGACGGTATCGGTGGCAAGAGACAATGGATAAGCTTAATATCATCAGCCAAAACAAGGCCAGAGGATGACAGTGGAACAGACCATCAAATGCTCTGTGCAAGTTCAGGCTGAAGCTGAAGAAAATTAAAATAAGTCCACAGAGTCAAAATATGATCTTCAGTGTATCCCAGCTAAATCTACAGACCATCACAAGAACAGATTTGACCCACTGGATGCTTATGACCAAAGACTAGAATTGCTGTGGGATGACATCAAGAATATCATCCTTGAAGAAAGCAAAAAGTCATTAAAATGATAGAAAGACCAGAGTGGATGTCAGAAAAGACTCTGAAACTTTCTCTTGTATGCAGAGTAACTAAAATGAATAGAAGAAATGATGAAGTAAAAGAGCTGAACTGAAGTTTTCAAAGGGCAGCCAAGAAGACAAGGTAAAGTATTATAATGAAATGTACAAAGATCTGGAATTAGAAAATCAAACAGGAAGAACACGTTCAGCTTCTGTCAACCTGAAAGAACTGAAGTAAAAATTCAAGCCTCGTGTTGCAATACTAAAGGATTCTATGGGCCAAAAAAATTGAATGATGCGGTAATCATGAAAAGAAGATGGAAGGAATACACAGTCATTGTACCAAAAAGAATTGATTGACCCTCTATCATTTCAAGAGATAACATATAACCAAGGACCAATGGCACTGAAGACCGAAGTCCAAGCTGCACTGAAGGCACTGGCAAAAACCAACACTCCAGGAATTGACAGAACATGTTGCAACTAATGAATGCAGTACTGGAAGCATTTACTAGTCTATGCTACAATATTTGGAAGGCAGCTATCTAGCCACCTAATTGGGAGACATTCATATTTGTGCTCACTCCAAAGAAAGGTGACCCAGTAATGTGAAAAACACTGCTATAACATGCAAGTAAAATTTTGCTCAAGATAATTTAAAAATGGTTGCAGCCAGTATATCAACAAGGAATTGCCAGAAAATCAAGCTGGACTTGGAATGAGGGATAGATATAGTTTCTGATGTCAGATATCTACTAGTGTTTTGATTTTGCAAAGACATTCTACTCTGTGGATGACAACAAAGTACAGGTAACATTGTGAAGAATGGGAATTCCAGAACACTTTATTGTGCTCATGAGGAACCTGTGCATACAGGCAGTTGTTTGAATAGAACAAAGATTAAATATCCGGAAAGATGTGTGTCAGGGTTGTATCCTTGCACTGTATTTTTTTCAATCTGTATGCTGAGAAAATAATAGGAGAAACTAGACAAATGAAGAAGAATAAGGCATCAGGATTAGAAGAAGACTCTAATTGCAGGTGAATACCTGCAATATACAGATGTCACAACCTTGTTTGCTGAAGGTGAAGAGGACCTGAAGCACCTGCTGATGAAGATCAAAGGTTACAGATTTGAATCTGGATTACAACTCAATGTAAAGAAAACAAAAATCCTCACAACTGGACCAATAAACAACATCATGATAAACAGAGCAAAGATTAAAGTTGTCAAGGATTTCATTTTACTTGGATCCACAATCAATGCTCATGGAAGCAACAGTCAGGAAATTAGAGGACATATGGCACTAGACAATGTTGCTGCAAAATACATCTTTAAAGTGTTAAACAGAAAAGATGTCATTTTGAGGACTTAGGTGTGCCTTATGAAGGAGTTTCCAATAGCTTCATATGCATGTGAAAGCTGGGCAATGAATAAAAAAAAGTGTAGAAGAGTTGATACATTTGAATTATAATTTTGAAGAGGAATATTGAAAATACCATGGACTGTCAGAAGAACAAATAAATCCATCAGGGAAGAAGTTCAGCCAGAATGTTCCTTAGAATGGAGGATGGTGAAACTTCATCTCATGTAGGTAGGACATATTATCAGGAGGGACCAGTCCCTGGAAAAGAACATCATGCTTGGTAAAGTAGAGGGTCAGTAAAAAGAAGAGAAAGACTCCCAACGAGATGGATGACACGGTAATTACAATAATGGACTAAATAGAGTATTTGTGAGGTGGCACAAATCTGGGCAGTGTTTTTAGTTCTGTTGTAGATAGGGTTGCTATGAGGTGGAGTTGACTCAAGGGCACCTA